TCGAGAAATACACTCATTTGCAAATCAATTTGGTTCTCACGAGAGACTCAACTGAATACCATAAACGAGATATTCAGTTGAATCTCTCGTGAGAACCAAATTGATTTGCAAATGAGTGTATTTCTCGGAGACGTTTCTCTCTTTTCTCTCATATTCTCCTGTTACCCTTTCGCATTCGTCGCTTGCATTCACTTTCTAGGTTTGTGACCAAGCTCTTCAAAAATAAATGACAATAGTAAGTGAGTGGGTGAGTAAGTAAGCAATTAACTGGGTTCAAGCGAGAGTGCCTCGGTCTGGGCAATCGATTTTCCTGTATATTTGTGAAGTTTTCAACAGGATGTGAATTCTATTAGACACTTTCTTTTGGATTTCAAAATGGTGAAAATCAGTGTATGATTCATGATAGAATAACGAGAAGCAGGAATAACTCCTCAGGCTATTCTTTTATCGTTCAAAAACAAAGGCGTTGATTGCTCCATTAAAACGTGATCGATAAACTATTCCTTTGCAGAAGGAACGAATAGTCTGCGCCTGATGTCGTGATCTTCAGATGAGGACGGATTTTAAGCTCATTCGTTCTGCTATGGTGCCTTGTACTTGAATAATTTGTTGGTTTGATACGGAAACAGTTGAGTCACCATCTCGGTTTCTCTAACGCCGTCACATTAGTCTGCTTCGCTTAACTGACTGCCATTTCTGATGGAGCCAAGAGTTCACTCACTGAGTTTATAGTGACTGGAATAAACAGCTTTGTGGTCCTAGTGTGTGTCTGATCATCTTGTTGTGATAACGTTAGGCTCGGACTAAAGTCACCTGGTAGCCACCATGACACTGAAAAATGGATTTCAGGGGGTACTTTCCTTTGCAGAAGTGGACAAAAACAAGTCTAAGACAAATCTGCCCAATAAAGAGTCATCTTTTGTGGAGATTTCGTCCTGTAACTGAAGCCAATCTACGCTGAAAAGCCGAGAAGCACTGTACAGCACTGTACTGTACTGTACAGGATGAGCGGCGCTATACCCTGTCTAAGTGCGAGTTAATCACACTGCTGACCAGCCACTCGTGTCCGAACAGTCTAGTGTTCAAACTACTAACCGGGAGGTCGCGGGTTGGAGACTCTTCGGAGTTTCGTGGGATGCGCACTGCTGATGATTCCCAATAAGGATGAAGCAGCTGTACAGTGCCTCTAGGCTTTTCAGCATAGATTAGCTTCACTTACAGGGACGAATTTCCACAAAAATCCCAAATCTCCTCACACTACCAACAAAGAGTCATCTAAAAAATCAATGGGGCTGATTTGTGAGAAACTGTAGAAGTAGATGATTTACAGGACTAGAGGAAATTTCGAGACCATACAGGTCGGAAACTTATCAGAAAATTCCTCGGATCCGTTTGCGGCAAATACGGGGTGAATGGATCTTGGATTATAGTTCTAATGAAAGTGCTTTCTGGTGGAAGCTTAAAAGGTTGACAGGTTTTTCGGATGCTCCATTAAGTCTGTTCGGATGAAGTCAGAGATTTCACAAATTTTCACGTTTTCCGTCGTGGCTTCGGGAAGAAAGGTGCTGGACTATTAAGTGGATTTCGCTCCACGGACGAGAGATAGGATGTCGAGGATAGAGGCCATACGGACCTGAGTATCGATTATCTGCGGCGGCTTGAATATCGCAGTTGAGTACCAATAATCAATCGAGTTGGGTTGTCTACATTTAGTACCTACGCAAAGTGTTAACTCGCGGCTTTTTTTGATAGCATACATGTTTAGTCAAACAAATTTATGCTACATCTAATGTGAAGACTGTATTACTTGATGTTTGATGACATCAGAGAGGGATGACGCCAATCCACCTACCTCAGATTGAAAAAAGTATCCTATCAGTTAAAGCAACCCTTTGTGAGTGATTCAATGTCCTTATGTGTTTGTACTTATGTGCTTGGATATCACCTGAATTTTAGGTGGTCACGGGTAATTAAGGAAAGTACTGGATCATTCATAAAGGAAACTACCCACAAGGTTGCTGAAAACTCTTCGAAGAGTTCTGAGCAACCTTGTGAGTAGTTTCCTTTATGAAAATATACTGCGATATCTCGAATATCGTGCCAACTGAATCATGAGGCGGCCTGTGTGCAGCACATTCAGTTGGAGAACATCATAAACCAAATTGATTTGCAAATGAGTGTATTACTGGT